TTTTGCAGATTCCGCCTCGATCAAAGAAGACTCGAATCAGAAATGTGGAGCGTCACCGGAGCTTTAGGTGTGGCGGTGCCTACCGCCGTTACTTTCCGTCCAAAACCCTTTCTTGTCTCCTCTTCTCTTCCCAAACAGACAAAGAAACTACATCTCTCTCCACCGCAATTGCTGTCTCTACCGTCACATTTCTCATTCTCTTTCAAAACTTCCGCCACTTCCGTTCAACAACAGTCGGACAATAAGGTTTATCTTCTTTCTCTCTTGTCCTTGTTCAAAAATCAATCAAACCACTTACGTTTTTTTGGATGTGATTGAAGGGAGAGAGCACTAAGTACTACTTCCTGGTTGCGAATGCGAAATTCATGCTTGACGAAGAGGAACATTTCCAGGAGCAATTGTTTGAACGTCTCCGTTACTACGGAGAGCGTGAAAAGGAGATAGATTTCTGGCTTGTCATTGAACCCAAATTCCTTGACAAGTTCCCCAAAATCACTCAAAGACTTCGTCGTCCTGCAGTTGCTCTTGTTTCCACCAATGGCCCTTGGATCACGTTAGAACCCTAAACCCACCAAGTATCTCTTTTTACTAAGATTATACATTTGTTCCCACATACAATTTTGTTTGATCTTTTGTTTTGCAGGTTTATGAAGTTAAGATTGGATCGAGTTCTAGCTGAATCCTTTGAAGCAACGTCTCTCAATGAAGCCTTGGCCTCAAATCCTGCAACTCTAGAGTTTGATCAGCCTAAGAATTGGGTGGCTCCATACCCAAAGTATGAGTCTGGTTGGTGGGAAACGTTCTTGCCTAAAGAAATCCAAGAATCATCATCTGTAGTATAGAACTTTACCTTTTTGTTTATTTTGCATTCTCCCAATCCAGAGCGTTTGTCTAGTTTTGTATTACTGAGCTTCTTTATCCAAGTCTGTCTTTGCTAGTTTAGCTTCTACTTTAGAGTTGTTTGTTTCATACTCCACAAGTTTACAACAGAAAGCATCTTTACATGAAGCTCGATCAGAGCCTACTGACCATAATTGATAAGGCCCCTACCTGTTGAAGAACTTGCAAAAATCTGAAACTTTCAGTTATCAAAACGATTTTTGTGTAAGTTGATCAGAATTGATCAAGGCCTATTTCCACCTGGTTAGTTGCACATCTTTCTGATCAAACAAAGGTTTTGAGTTCTTCCTCTAGATCAGGGAAGGGTTTTTTAATTTCAACTCTTTGATCGCGTTGTATCTGAGGTTTGCTCATCAATCTTGCTAATTCATTTGTGACTAATCAGAGTGGAAGTTATCCTTAACTAATAATCCATGGGAATAAAAGGGTATATATTACCAAGTAACAAGCATGAATCTCAAGTTTTCAAATGTGTTGAATATTGCTACACTTGTGGGAGATGTATTCATGAAAACTATACACGGAGACTAGCTCCACCGGTGCCTGAGTTCATTAAGTTACTCTTGTGCAGCTAGATTTGCAATTTCCGCAAGGGGCTTCCACATGAACTTTCTCCTGCAAAGGAAATGTGTGGTGGTCAAGCAACGTGCAAACACATAGATGATTTCTATAATGGAAAGGAATGAGAATTTCTCACCAGTTGCCACATTCAGCAATAACCCTGACATTAGGACGCAGAGAAGGAAGCAGAGCAAGAAATTGAAGTTCAGACTTGGAGAGGACCTGAGTATTAATGGAAGATGAGATGCAGCCAGCATGTGGGAGAGACAAATCAAATGAGAAAAAGTTTAAACCTTTGCTTCGAGGACCCATACGACAAGACCCTTGGCATTAGGAGGAAGAGCAGCGAGCCTGTAGTCAACTTCTGGTGGATAATACCACCTTGCTATAGGTTGTTTCCCAAGATGAGCCTAAAACAAGAGACATGGTTCATTGACAAAATGATTGAAACAAGATATAATTGACAAAAGGAGACGGACAGACATACAGGGCAAACAGGGTAGGGGTTAAGGAGGGTTGTCTCAGGATCACCAAGCCCTCGAGCAGAGATATCAAGAAAGTAGTAGCCTTCGTTTTTGAGACGGTTTAGATAACGACCTTCGTAGCCACCTTCATGAGGAGTGTAAATAGCGATTGCCTTGTGCTCTTCCACATCCTCAAGCCAACGACCGATGTCTAGCTTCACGAGGTCTCCTCCGATGAAGTCACTTATGCTTCTGCTACATCTCACGCCTCTGCTTCTTTGCTTCCTCTTTGTATTCACAAAAAAGGGACTAACTGTTTTGCTCTTCTTCACTAGCAATGAGGCTTCAAAGCACGGCGGTGCGAGGCTGAACGGCTTATTTAAACATTGAGCCGGGCCTGGTTGTATGCATACTGAACGGCTTCCCATTTCCTTACTAAGAATGCTATGTTTGAGTTTCGCATAACAATAACCATTGCTTGACGTACGCAACGATGATGAAAGAATGGTGGAGAAACAACGACTCACCCAGACAAGGAGATAGACCCGACTGGGCTTACAAATTTTGGGCTTTTTAATAGGCCCATTAAATACCGTCGGTAGTGAGAGAAGCCGGGATTAAAGTCAGAAACTCGAAAGAAGTCGCCGGAGCAAAACTGTCGGAGAAGAAGGTATGTCGAGGGGATCTCGGCTCTTTAGAGCTCCTAAGCTCATACTCTCTCGCGCTTATCTTCAACCTCAACCTAAAACTCCATTTTTTCCCTACCGACTTCGCTCTGATTATCTTCTTCAGCATCATCATGGTTTATCCAGTTTCATCAGACGTAACTCAATTCGGACATCTCCAGTTATTAATGGCTTCCTCTCCGATCCTTCCCCATCTCCAATTCGTTGCGTTCAACGGAGCTCCATGGTTAAAGGCGGTATTCAGTTCTCGACTTCTACTCCCAATCCCGACCAATCCGCCTCCAAGTCTAAGCAAATCAAGACGGCCTCGTCGGAGTCAGACTCGGCTATGGCTGACATGAAGATCCTTCGCACTCTTGCTGGCTATTTATGGATGAAAGATAACCCAGAATTCCGGTTGAGGGTCATCACTGCCTTGGGCTTTCTCGTTGGTGCTAAGGTCTTGAATGTCCAGGTCCCTTTTCTCTTCAAATTAGCTGTTGATTGGCTTGGTTCAGCTACTGGAACCGGCGCTTCTCTTACCACATTCGCTGCTGCAAACCCTTCTCTTGTTGTTGCTTTTGGTACTCCTTCTGCTGTTCTCATTGGATATGGCATTGCTCGGACGGGATCTTCTGCTTTTAATGGTAACTCACTCCTCTAAATAGCTCACGTTATGAAAAAAACAAAAAAAAGATGCACTTTTCACACTTTGGTGCTTTCATCATCGCAGAAATTCGAACTGCTGTGTTCTCCAAAGTTGCTCTCCGCACAATACGATCTGTTTCTAGAAAGGTATGGTTTTGCTGCGCTAAAGTAATCTTGTCGATGGAGATTTAGGTGTATTTTCTGGTGTATGAATCCTTTTTAACATGATGTCTTTGCAGGTGTTCTCACATTTACATGATCTTGACCTTCGTTACCACTTAAGGTATTTGTCTCCACTCCTCTTACTCTTGGGAGTAATCTCGCTGCATCTTAGTTTCATCTCATTTTAAATTTCTTACTTGGTTGCCTATGTCCAGTCGAGAAACAGGTGGTTTGAACAGAATTATTGATCGTGGTAGCCGTGCAATCAACTTTATCCTCTCAGCTATGGTTTTCAATGTTGTTCCTACCATTTTGGAGGTAAATTTTTCAATGATCATGGAGTCTGCTCATTTTGACTAATTGATAGTTGCTCATTTATCTTTGGATTTTAATGGTGATCCTTTCCAGTTTGGGTTTACTATTCCTTCGTTCTCTAAAAACAGTAGACGTAATTAATATGTATCTTCCAGATATCTATGGTATCAGGTATACTAGCATACAAGTTCGGACCTGCTTTTGCGTGGATTACTTCTCTTTCTGTTGGAGCATATATCGCTTTTACATTATCTGTGACACAGGTACCGTCATTCTTCTGTATACTCTTTACAATGACAACTATGATGCTTATCATGATAGTCCAGCACTGACTGTGATAAATCTGCTTTAGACATCACCCTACAGTGTTCCTGAACTCATTACTAAGCTTCTCTGATCGTTTTTGTATCAACTCTTTGCATGGGCTGAAAAAATCATTCTAGTTATGATAGGCGTGAAGTGCTTGTAGAATGATGATACATTCTCTTCATCTTTCATTGTCGTGTTACAAATCTTTTTGGTGTCAGATGCTGCGCTTACGTTTCGTTTATTTATCCAGTGGCGAACCAAGTTTAGAAAGGCTATGAACAAAGCTGATAATGATGCTAGCACAAGGGCTATTGATTCTCTGATTAATTATGAGGTAAAAGTTCATTTATTAAAAGGTTTTTCCTGAATTGCAGTTTTGACAGAATTTATGTTTCGTTTCAGACTGTTAAATATTTTAACAACGAAGGTTATGAGGCTGAAAAGTATGACCAGTTCCTGAAAAGTAAGTAACTGCATTAGCTGTTTAGCAAAACAGATTTATGTAAATTTCCACAAAATCCTCTAGTTTTACTTTTAGCAACAATATTAGCAACAAGAGACAAAGTCAGATACAAAAAAGCGCTGTTGACTGTTTTACATCTTTATGTAGAAGTTCTTTTCACTAGGAAGATTGATATTTTATCATAATATATCATTGCTCAGTCCATTTACCTTGATTTATTTTGTGATGATACTGCTGCTCATACCAGAATACGAAGATGCTGCCCTGCAAACTCAAAGAAGTCTTGCTTTTTTAAACTTTGGACAAAGTATCATATTTAGTACAGCTCTGTCAACAGCAATGGTGTTGTGCGCTCAGGGTATCATGAATGGCCAGATGACAGTCGGTGACTTGGTCAGTGCCTCCTTTGATTGTTCCCCTCCGTTGGTATTATTATTATGTTTCGATGAAAATTTGTTCTAATAAGTTTTTGCATGTTTGTACATTGCAGGTCATGGTGAATGGACTTCTCTTTCAGTTATCTCTTCCTCTAAACTTTTTGGGTAGTGTTTACCGTGAAACCATTCAGAGCCTTGTAGACATGAAATCAATGTTCCAGTTGCTAGAGGTATATGAGAAGTGTTATTTAATCTTTAAGTTTGGTTCAGTTCCTTAAACACCTTTTCTATGCTAATGCTTCAACCAAGAAGTGATATTCAAATGCATGCTTTTTCGTATAGACTCTTGGCATGAGGAATTGATTATGTGGTATTCTCTTACTGCTTCAGGAGAAATCTGACATCACAAATATAAGTGACGCAAAGCCTCTTGTTCTGAAAGGTGGAAGCATTCAGTTTGAGAATGTACACTTCAGGTAGGTGTTAATTTTAGTGGAACATCACTATCATACTAATCGTATGCCATGCTGTCTCTGGAGTGGAAGTGTGTTAAGATTAATACCAGTGCTAGAAGCTCAAATGTTATTTCAATAATGAACTGCATACACCCCCAGAAAGTCTATTAATTTGAATACTTCCCTCATGACGCAATCCGTATAACCAATAGCAACCTATTATGCTACTAGCTCTATTTATTCTGTACCCAGGATTCACTGACTCTAGCAAGTTAGTTTTCCTGAGCTGTATTAGGCAACAATCATGTGCACAACATTTATGCTGGTTACCGAACAATCAAACACATCACTAAAAACACCAACCAGTACAGGAACAATTTCTACAAATAAGACTTCTAGAGCTAACAAAGTGGCAAATTTTAGGATACATTGCAGGATATGGATATCAGCTTCATGTGCGTCTGAAAACGAATGGAAATTAATTATTTATGTATATTGCCACATAATCATTTTTTTTCTACAATTCCAGTTACCTTCCAGAGAGAAAAATTTTAGATGGAATATCTTTTGTTGTACCGGCAGGAAAAAGTGTGGCAATTGTTGGTACCAGCGGGAGTGGTAATTCCTAAAGCTCGTCTGTTTCAGCATCTAAGTTAAAATTTATGGTTCTGTTATACCGTTGCAATATCTTTTCCTTTGTTCTATGGCAGGCAAGTCAACAATTCTCAGAATGTTGTTTAGATTCTTCGACACAGATTCTGGAAATGTAAGCATTTTTTTCATTTGTTTATGAACTGTAAGGCCTCGTTTGGAAGCATTTTTGCAACAAAAGTAAACCCTGCTGCAGAGAAATTCACTGAAGAAAAAGCTTGGTGTCTAGATAACATCTCTTTCATGTTGGTTAACAGATAAGGATTGACGGGCAAGATATAAAGGAAGTGAGACTAGATAGCCTCCGAAGCTCCATAGGAGTTGTGCCACAAGATACTGTAAGTTGGCATTACTATATTTTCTCTACTTCTTGTCGTAAGCATTTGTTTATACAAAACCTGCATTTGTTGCTCTCTCACCTTTCTTCTCGTTCTAACCTTTTTGTTCTTGCAAAACATTAGATTATTTTTCACTTTCATTCTCTTTATTCCTATCTATCATTAGCTTTCTAGTTATGTAGAACACTCCAGCTTTTCTTGTTCTCAAGGATTACCTTTACTGCACTGCAGGTGCTCTTCAATGATACAATATTTCACAACATACATTATGGACGTCTTTCAGCTACAGAAGAAGAGGTACCAACAACCTTATACTCGGTGAAAACGTCATGTTTAATACCAATAATCCTTATCTAACACATATTTCAATCCAGGTGTATGATGCTGCTCGGCGTGCTGCAATTCATGAAACAATCAGTAATTTCCCTGATAAATATTCCACGATTGTTGGGGAAAGGGGGCTCAAGGTCAGTATTGTGAAATGTTTATATCTGAAATATTTTAGATAGATCAGTATATGCCCTTTTGTGTCTAGTGGCAAGTCGCAGTTTGCATGATTGAGTTAGTCCCCCTTAGTTTTTGTCATGGGCATTATTAAAGTAAAACAAGCTAAGTCAATCGGACTTCCAAGTCAAAGTTCACCTATTGAAAATTGGAAGGAGAAAAGTATGATTCAGTAAACTATCTTCATAGAACTGTAGCAAGCATGAGAAAAATAGAGTAGCCGAGAGAAGTTTTCTATATAACTGTGAATAGTAGCAATGACGATTTGAGTAGTGAGCCATGTATTGATGAGGCGTTTTTGGTCATGCTAACCATGGAGTGATGTTGTGTGCAGTTGAGTGGTGGAGAGAAACAAAGAGTGGCACTTGCTAGGGCATTTCTGAAATCCCCTGCGATTCTGTAAGTAAAAATTTTCCACAGAAGCAGAGCATCGACTTTGCATACATGAGAACAGGTGTTGAGTCCTCACATACATAAAAATTTTGAGATGAGATTACATAATGGTTTGTGTAAAATGGCACAGGCTGTGTGATGAGGCAAC